TAGTTTTGGTGCCTTTCCTGGATCTTGCTCTGTAGACCAGGCTGGCCTTGAACTCACAGAGATCCACCTGGCTGTGCCTCCTGAATGCTGAGATTAAAGGTGTGCACCACCACCACCACCACCACCACCACCACCACCACCACCACCTGGCTCATACTGTAGCTTTAATGTCTAATTTTTTTTTAAAATAAATGTATCTGTCTGTCTGTCTATTCATTTATTTTACATCCAGGCCATAGTTTCCTCTCCCTCCTCTCCTCCCAGTCAAGCCTCCTCTGCTCCCACCCCCAAACCCACTCCCCCTCTATTTCTGTTTAGGAAAGGGCATACGAGACAAAACAAAACATGGCATATCAAGTTGCAGTAAGACTAAGCACCTCCCATGTATTAAGCCTGGGCAAGGTGACCCAGTATGAGAAGTAGGGTCCCAAAAGCCAGTAAAAGAGTCAGAGACAGCCTCTACTCCCACTGCTAGGAGTCCCACAAGATGTCCAAGCTCCACAACTGTAACATAATGCATGGTCAGTCCCATGCAGGTTTCCTGGTTGTCAGTTCAGTCTCTGTGAGCCCCTATGAGCCCAGGTTAGTTGATTTTATGAGTTTTCTTGTGGTATACTTGACCCCTCTGGCTCCTACAATCCTTTCTCCCTTCTTCTGCAGGATTCCCTGAACTCCTCTTAATGTTTGGCTGCGGGTCTACATCTCTTTCCGTCAGCTGCTAGATGAAGCCTCTGATGACATTTGGGCTAGGCACCAGTCTGGTCCCAGGAGATGACCAGTTCAGACTAAGTATCTGTTAGTGCTAAGAGTCTTTTCTTTCTTTTTTTTAAAGATTTATTTATTTATGTATACAATGTTCTGTGTGCATATATTCCTACACCCCAGAAGAGGGCACCAGATCTCATTACAGATGGTTGTAAGCCACCATGTGGCTGCTGGGAATTGAACTCAGGACCTCTGAGCCATCTCTCCTGCCCATGCTGTCTTAACTAGGGTCCTCTTGTAGATTCCTGGGAGATTCCCTTCCACCAGGTTTTTACCTGACCCCGAAATGCCCTGTTTCAGAACTCTCTTCCTCTGTCCGTCCCCCAACCTTAATGGTTCATGTTCCCATCCCCAGCCATCCTCAATCTACTCACAAAATCTCTTCTATTTCCACTTTCCAGGGAGATCTAGGCATTTCCTCATGAACCCTCCTTGTTACCTAGTCTCTCTGTGTCTGTGGCTTGCAGCATAGTTATCCTTTATTTTACAGCTAATATCTACTTATGAGTGAGTACATACCATTTTTGACTTTCTAGGTCTGGGTTACCTCACTCAGGATGATTTTTTCTAGTTCTACCCATTTGCCTTCAGATTTCTTGGTGTCCTTGTTTTTAACAGCTGAGTAATATTCCATTGTGTAAATGTACTACATTTTCTTTATCCATTTTTCAGTTGAGGGATATCTAGGTTGTTTTTAGGTTCTAGTTATTACAAATAATGCTGCTATGAACATAGCTGAGCGAGTGTCCTTGTGGTATGATGGACCTAAGAGTGGTATAGCTGTGTCATGTGGTAGATTGATTCCCAGTTTCCTGAGAAACCGTCACACTAACTTCTAAAGTGGCTTAATCAGTTAATTTTATGTTTTGGTATTTTGTCTGCATCATGTGTGTGCCTGGTACTTGTGGAGGCCAGAAGAGGGCAACAGATCCTGAGACTGGAACTATGCTTGTACACTACCATGTGGGTTGCTGGGAATTGAACCCAAGTCCTAGGAAGAGCAGTGCTCTTAACCACTGAGCCATTTCTCCAGTTCCAGTATGTTAAATTTTGTGAGGAGCTCCCAAATTGTTTTCTATGAGTACACAATTTATTTATGATGTCATCAAGTGTGAAAAATGATTCTAGGAGCTGGAGAGATGGCTCAGAGGTTAAGAGCACTGGCTGCTCTTCCAGAGGTCCTGGGTTCATTTCCCAGCAACCACATGGTGGCTCACAACCGGCTGTAATGAGATCTGGTGCCTTCTTCTGGCCTGCAGGGATACATGCAAGCAGAACACGATACATAATATTTATGTATAATCTTTAAAAAGAAAATGTGTAATCTTTAAAAAGAAAAAAAAAGAAAAATGATTCTGATTTGTCCTATCTCACCAACATTTGTTATTTTCTGTTTGTTTGCTTTAGAGTAACCATCCTAAAATGATTTTCAACTGCATTTCTCTAGAAATCATATACAATTTTTTTTTTAATGTTAGGGGTGGGTGGGAGATGGATCAGTAGGAAAAGTGTTTGCTGTGCCAGCATGATGTTGCTTAAGATACACATATTGGAAGGAAATACGTAAGCAGAAATTATTTTTTAAAAACTAATGATAATTGGGAATATATTTGACAAATAGATGAAGAAAAATGAGACACAATCATATTAGTAGTGTTCTAATCCTTAGGTATGTTCATGAATGTTCATTTTATTAATATGCATCAATTTAAATTTATTTATTTTTTTTTTTTATTTATGTGCATTGGTGTGAGGGTGTCAGATCTTGGCATTACAGACAGTTGTGAGCTGCCATGTGGGTGCTGGGAATTGAACCCGGGTCCTCTGGAAGAGCAGCCAGTGCTCTTAACCACTGAGCCATCTCTCCAGCCCAATATGCATCAATTTAAATTTACACTAAATAGCCTAAAAACATTACAGGATAAACATATATAACAATGCTCCCATTTACTAAAATGCTCGAGTGTACCCTGCTTTTCTCCCACAGCAGTGAGTCAACACTCCCAAACAAAAACTGGATTTCCTGAAAAACAGGTTAAGTCAATTCACAGGGGGAAATGCTTGTCAGCATGACAAAGGCCAGCACTTTTATGAAAGCAAAATCTATATATACCTTTCTTTCGGGTTCCTGAAACAAGATCATACCCAAAGACGGTACTACTACCTTAAACACAAAAATAAATTGTGCGCTTGTATTCTTTGATCACGGGGAGAAAAAAAAGAACTTCAGAAAACTTTCTTGATGTGCATGCTCGGTGTACCGGGACCTCGGCCACATCCGGTAACAACACTGATTTATATATAGATTCTCTAGTCAGCACTGAGCTAATAATTTACTATGGGAAATGTAGCTAATCAGAGCCACCCCCACCCGCAAGTGTTGCTTTAGAATGGAGATTAACTTTCATCGCTTTCTTGATTTAGGGCCGTTCATCCAAACTTCTCAATAAGAGCAACGGGTCCATCTCTGAGAAGAGGCTTATTAAGAAAAACAAAAGCAGATGTGGAGGGTTAAGTGAAGAAACACTGTAAAGAAAACGGGCGAGGGAGGGAGGGAGGAGGGAGCAGGAATCTCCCAGGGGAAGGTATGGAAAACAAAAATACAGAAATTTTCCACACTAAAACTTCCAAAAGAAAATGCATGCACGGAACAAAACTTGCCAAGGTTCATTTTTCAGTACACGAGCAATGAAACTCATCTCGGGAGGTCTATGCTTTCACAAAGAAAAAGAAAAGGCAGCTTAACCAGCCCTCCCGTTTTGGGCAGAGGCTCCGTAAAGATGGCGGTGGGTCGAAGCCCCTTCTCCTCCCGCAACCAAAGGCTCTCGCTGCACATTTCCCACAAACCCCTCCGCGCGGCCCCGCTCGCCCAGGCCGGCCCGGCCCGGGGCGCAGCCATTGC